GTATGCCAATGTAAAACGTTTAAGAACCACTGGTTCTGACGAATACAATAAGCACACATATATATATATATATATATATATTGTATTTATTTTTTTGTATACATGGCTATTTTACTTACACTATCAACACTGATGGATGTGACTATAGCAATGCAAGAATAGCTTTAGCTCTTTTTTTTTTTAAACGTCCTGTACTATTAGCTGCAGTAGTAGTATTTTTTGAAGATAGAGGTTGAAAAGGTGAAACAGGCCCTTTCAGAAACTCCACTGTGTTCTTAATCCATTTTATGGTTAATAAGCAGCTTCTCAATAGGAGTTTTTTCCCCGAGGGTCATTATCACACATTGATTAGTGGCATGTTAAAGCAATGTAGCATTTCTTCACATTCTGTAAACTAAAGCCCTGACGCTCGCCCGGGGTCTCAATATTAGCTTGGTTTAACATCACAGAGTGTTTTTTCATCAGCTTTCCCAGCAGGCTACTGTAGCAGCAGTGAAACAGAGGTCACATCCTCGCTGGCTATACATCACACCGCTAATGGCGCTATTAGCATCGCCTGCGCCATCGCTCCCCAAATGAGAAATATCTATTGTTTGGCTCAAATGTGCATAATGATAAGCTCCTAAATGATTTGTGGCATTAACTTTGAATGACATTGTCTGCATTGTTATAGGAGGGGTTTTGTCACCTGCAGCGTGCTGAGTTATGCTGATATTATTTTTCAGTATTAAAGAAGAAAAATGTGAATATTCTGTGATAACTATTGCTTGATCAATTACTGTACAATTTACAGCGATAAGGAAAAATGTAAATCAACTTAAACTCTTAATTTTGAGATATTATATTGTATTATATTATATTTTTCAGTATTAAAGAAGAAAAATACTAATTAAGGAGTGAAATAGGAAGGATTTTGTTTATTTATTTTGTATTTATTTTTTTAGTAATAAAGATGAAAATTTGAAATTTTCAGTACAATTATTACTTAATTACTTTTTTTACAGTGTTTTGGTAAAAATCCAATTGCACTCTTAATTGTAAGAAAAATACATATATTATATTATTTTATATTATATATTATATTATATTATATTATATTATTTTTCAGTATCAAACAAGAAAAATACGAATTAATGAAGGAATAGGAGGGTTTTTTTGTTTTCACACATATATGTATATATATATATATACACACATACATATACAGTGTGTAAATACATATACAGTGTGTAATATACACATACATATACAGTGTGTAATATACACATACATATACAGTGGTAAAAATCCAATTGCACTCTTAATTCTAAGAGATACATATATTATATTATATTTTGTACTGTACAATTATTACTTAATTACTTAAACATTACAGCAAGGAAAACCCCATATATATTAGTACATACACACACACACACACACACATATATATATACATATATATATATATATACACATATATATCTTATATTATAATAATTTTTCAACATTGAAAAATTTTACATTTTCTTTTCTTTCTTTCGTTTACTTAAATAATTATCAATCAATTACTATAATATTTACAGTATTAAGGTAAAAATCCCAATCAAATTGCACTTTAAATTCTGAGACGGAAAAAATAAAAACATACATACATGCACACATATATTATTCAGTATTAAAGGATTTTCAGATGTGCATAATGATCAGTTTTAACTTTGAATGACATTGGCTGTATTGTTATGGGAGCGATTTAGTCACCTGCGACGTGCTGAGTTCATTCAGCGGCCGGCTGCTCTGTTATTTTTCCATTCAGCTGCAGATGTTTGATGAAGGCAAGCTGCCGTTTGTCCCGTCAGGTGTTTTGGGGGTTAAAATGGGCCGCCCCGTGTGAGGGATGAGTGTGGCTTTGGGATATGTGCCATTTACGCGGGGGTCAGAGTGCAGGGAAGCGAAAGAGTGCGAGCGAGCAGAGTTTACCGTAATTGAGCTGTCAGTATTCTGCTGTGTCGCCGCACCTCAGGTTGCCACAGAAATGAGAAAAATATTTTTATAAAAATTTTATTTTCCACTACAGACCTCTATTATTTATTTCATTCCCTTCCCTTGTCTCTGTCAGAGTGGTTCTGATGGGGTTAACAAAATAGGGGTCCGGGGTCTCGACTTCTACATTACACACTCTGTTTTCAGCCAAGGACAAAACAGCGTCTTGGATTCGCAACTGGCCTCCTTCAATCAATGTATCCATGTCAATATGTTTACCCAGCGCTCCATTCTTTACTCTATACAAAAACATAACTCCGTTCTTCGCATTTCTCCCCGAGCTGAGCGACCTACATGCCTGTCAGAGCGATTTGCTAAGAAAGCCGAGTTGTTTGGATGGCTCACCATCTCATTGTCTCTCAGTAAATGTATTTTTTCAGTAAATCCCTCCTTTCAGAGGCAGGATATGAAATCATAGTGAAATGTGAAGGAGTTTCAGTGTCAGGCTGAGGAAAATCCCCATCTAATGAACTTGTGCACCCGTGGCCACCTGTCTTTCGTCTTTAAGCTCAACACACACATCGACTCCTTAATGCTAATGCTGTGACTTACAACAGACTCTTTCAGAGGAAACAGAATGAGAGAGTGTCATGGCATGAGTGTTGAGTAAATCCTTGCCAAACAATCAGAGGCAGCTGTAGCCTCAAATCTTTTTTGGAAAGTCCGGAATGTCAATAGTGTAGAAGAACATCATGGAAGCTATGCATGGAAGTAAAACTGTGTTTCTGTTTCTGTCCCTGTGTCCCAGCGCCCAGTGCTCCTCCTCAGCAGGTGACGGTCCTCACGGTGGGCAATCAGAACAGCACATCCATCAGTATCTCCTGGGACCCTCCTCCTGCAGAGCATCAGAATGGCATCATCCAGGAATATAAGGTAATTGCCACGTGACTCCATCAGAAACACCAACAAACACATGCAACTTAATAAATATCCAAATAGACTTGCACTCTTAATGCTCTTAATATATTATGTTATGTTATATTATATTATATTATATTATATTATATTTAGTGCTGGGCAACAATTAACATTTTTAATCACGATTAATCGCATTGTTATGCACAAAATTCAATAATGAATTCAAAAGTAGTGTATTGTGCATCATTTAAAAGTACTGCTATATGAACAAAAGTGCAATAACATTTGGTTTGCAAAAACTTTAAACAAATAAGGTGCTTTTTTACATTCCTTTTACATAGTAAAAAGCAGTTAAACATTTCTTGTAAATCTCAATTTATAACATTAATGTAATCAAATTAAATATAAAACCAAAGCTATTTGCCACTGCCAGGGTATTAATGTTATTATATTATATTATATCTTCATGGAGCATGATCTTTACTTAATATCCTAATGATTTTTGGCATAAAAAAAAAAATTATAATAATTAATATCATAATGATTTTTGTAATAAAAAAAAATATAATAATTTTGACCCATACAATGTATTGTTGGCTATTGCTACAAATATACCTGTGTTATGACTGGTTTTGTGCTCCAGGGTCACATTTGAGGATGTTTTAAGGGTCTAAACTCAATAAATAATATGTGTACAATAAGTCGTTTTGGATAGAAGCACACACTAGATGACTGTTTACGTTTTTTACTTTTGTTCAAAATGGGCCTCATTTATGAAACACAAGCAGAACAAATTTCTCTATAAATTGTCTGCAAATCCCTTCATGCATAAATAGCTGTACTGAATTGAATGCAACAATTTACATAAAAATGGTTTTACGAGTAGTTCACACAAAAATCGTTTTCGTTAATGAGGCCCAATCATTAAAAATGACTTTTTTACAGACAATTTGCTATTTTCTCTCTCTCTCTCTCTCAGATCTGGTGTTTGGGGAACGAGAGCCGTTTCCATGTAAATAAGACGGTGGATGCAGCCATCCGCTCAGTGGTGGTGGGGGGTCTCCAGGCAGGGGTCCAGTACCGGGTGGAGGTGGCCGCCAGCACCAGCGCTGGGGTGGGGGTGAAGAGCGAACCACAAACCATCATTATTGGTACGGGACATCTTTTGGTTTCGATAACCTTTACTGTCACACTGCATCTGCCTTTTATCTGTGATGGGCAGAAATATCTTAAAGCGGGGTCACCAGAATCAAAATTAAATCTCACAGTCAGGGCCGCAGATTTTTTTTCCAGGTCTTTGGGTGTTTACAGTGTGAGTTATGTGAGTTGTAGCAGGTTGTGACTGGTTTGACCCATAAGTGATGATTTGGCCAATGACATGCCCTTATTCCAAAATGCCAAGCTCACTATCCATCTTCACACACAGCCAGGGGCTGATAGACTATTTATCAAGATTGCAGTTTGTGTGTATGTGTGTGTCCTACCAGCTTTTGACGTAAAAAAGGCTGATTTAGCTACAAGACAACATAAAAAAATCAAAATGAATCTTTTTTGGGCTCTAATAAATATCCCTAGGTTATTGTAAATAGCTAATGTGCTCATCACTTCAAAAGGGAAAAAAGTTTGTTTTTAGAACATTTTATCAACTTTCTCTGCCTTTGAACTGATTTTTTTTTTGCTGAGGTGGGACATGTGGGCAGGATTAAGTAATATTAACCAATAATCTTTATAGTCTAACATGATTCCATCCAATCAAATCCAAAAGGATAATAATAGGTACTGTAAATACTGTTTTGTGTTTTTATACAGCATTTTGTGTTATTTAGTTAGTATATTTTTGCTGAGGTGGGACATGTGGGCGGAGTTATGATTCCATCCAATCCAATTTGAAAGGATGAAAAACAAGTCTCACCTTACATTATTTTTTGCCAGATATTGAAATAATGTCACATTAAGGAAATTAAATGTGCTGTAAATGCGGTTTGGTGTTATTTATGCAACATTTTGTGTTCTTTATTTCAGTTTCTTATTTTATATTTTTGCTGAGGTGGGACATGTGGGCTATATTAAGTAGTATTAACCAAGTCTCATCTGACATTATTACTGATGAATATTGAATTCATATCAGGTTAAGGAAATTAAATGTACTGTAAATACAGTTTTGTGTTATTTATACACATTTTGTGTTATTTGGTTTAATTTTTTTGTTATATATTGTTTGCTGAGGTGGGAATGTGGGCGGGGTTAAGTAATATTAACCAATAATATAAGTCTAACATGATTCCATCCAATCAAATCCTAAACGATAATAAAAGCCATAAATAAATGTAAGTCTCATCTTACATTATTACTGATGAATATTGAAATAATATCACATTAAGCAAAGTAAATGTGCAGTAAATACTGTTTTGTGTTATTTATACAACATTTTGTATTAGTTATTTTAGCTTTTTATTTTATGTTTTTGCTGAGGTGGGACATATGGGCAGGGTTAAGTAATATTAACCAATACTATTTATAGTCTAACGTGATTCCATCCATTCAAATCTTAAAAGATAATAAAATCTCACATTATTTCTGATGAATGTTGAAATAATGTCACATTAAGGAAATTAAATGTGCTATAAAAACTGTTCCGTGTTATTTTGTGTTTTCGTTGTTTTTCTCTTCTGTTCACTGAAGTAATGCTAAAGATCAAGGTGATGTGCTTTTAACGCTCTAGTTGAGTTGATTAAATTCTGCTCTGATGTTCACTGGAGCACAAGTGTTTTTCTCGTGCTATTAAACTAATTTAGAAACTCACCCACAATTTTCAGTTTACCAAATAGCGGTTTTCTCTTGCGTGTGTGTGTGTCCTTGTAGGTAAAGACTTCCGGGATGTGATCATGAGCAGGAACAACAGCATCACAGAGCAGATCACGGATGTGGTGAAGCAGCCGGCCTTCATCGCGGGCATCGGAGGGGCCTGCTGGGTCATTCTGATGGGCTTCAGCATCTGGCTCTACTGGAGGAGAAAGAAGAGAAAGGGTCTCAGCAATTACGCAGGTAGAGACCAGATCCGCTTGAGCTACACACAGCGGCGATTGTTTTCAGATGGCACGGGACTCACAACTTCCCCTAAATGCGTGTTTAGTACAAATAATACAAATATTGTTAGTATTTTAGCAAATTAAACCATGACCCATAGAGCCCGCGCTTTACTGGGCTATTTATTTTAATGAAGCAACGAGTGATGTTCATTGGATAAGAGGCTCTAAAGTGCCGTTTTGTGTCCTTATTTGTATTTTTAAAGCTTTTGAATGGGACATATTTGGCTTTCAATCAATGTGTTTTTGTCCCAGCTTTCGCTATATGATGATTTGTTCAAGCTTGTAAATGGACAGGACTTTGCTGCAAATGGCCAATAATTGAAAAATGAACCCTTGTGCTGTGTTGAAAATTCTTTATCTAATTTAGTGTGCTCACCTTTTAAAAATTGCTTGTAATTCTCTCGTTATGCTATATTATCACCAAAGCTTGGATTCAGTCTTTAATAACAGCATGTTTTCTTTCAATTAGGACAGGTTTTGTATTTCTTTTTGGAACTGACTGCTTGTAGGCTTCATTGATCTAAGGTTATGCACCTCAGATTTTTAGTAAAAAAAAAAAAAAAGCATTATTTGTGAATAATTTGGGCAATATTCACTCAAAATCGGAGGTGTATAAACTCATATCAATGAGGCTTATGATCAAAACCTGTGGTAATTGAAAGAAAACATGTTGTTATTAAAGATTGAATCCAATATTTGGTAATGATATAGCATAATGGGAAATTTATATGCAGTTTTTTGGAGGCCAGTCATTTTTGATCAGGAACTCCACAAGTGTAACAATATCATAAAAAAAAGAAAAGAATTGTTGGGAGGTTGTTCCTTGTGTGAGCAAAGTCAGTAGTCCAATGTGATAAGAAACTATTATTTATAGTAGTACTTAGAAGCAACATTGCAGATATTTAAAAAAAAAAATTATAATAAAGTACACCTTTTGCCATTGATAAGTGATATCTGTGCATCCCTACTATTTAAAAGCACCAGCCGCCACTGAAAAACACACTCTTTTGTTTTGTTTTTGTTTGCTTTTTACACTTTATTTTAATTGTGTTTGTGTGTCTCATTCCTTTGGCTGCTGTCTTGCCGTCTTGACTCTGATGGCATAACGCAAACCTTGCGCAAACGCACTCCAGTATGCATGCGAATAATCATGCACACGCACAGAAACACACAAACCTTCCAAAGCCCGACTGAGCACTGCAGGCTTTTTAACACACACTCTTCTCTGTCTTCTTGTTTTTGCAGTTCAGTCGTTCACCTTCACCCCTGCAGGTACTGTTCATTTGTCCCGTCTTTTCGAAACCCCCATCCCTTCTTCCTGCATTTATCTTACTTTCCTTTACACAATCAAGTATCCCTTCCCATGGTTCAACCTCACAGGTCTTCAGATGATGCCCACCTGACTTTGTCAGCACAGTATAGGGAGTAAATCTGGCTCTAAGGGTCTCAAACACAAATTATGGACAGATCTAGACGGTCTAAAATTGTTATTTACAGATACAGGATAACATTCAAGGTCAAACTAAAGTGCAAGTAGCGAACATTGATTCGTTGACTGCGAATAAACACCATTTTTACATGTCTTTATGAATGCTAACAGAGTCCGGTGGAAGATCTGTGGGCTGCAAGATCCTGCAGTTCTCTATTTGTGTTTCTTTGTCCTTGTCTTCAGGTCATTTTTTCAGTGGTGGTCACCTGTGCTGATCTTTTTTGTGTGGTTTTTCCATCTCATCTTTATCTTTCTTTTATTCTCCTGTTCTCTCTTTTCGTTTGTGTGAATTGTTTTTGTTCTCTACCCGAGTTCTCCGCTCTTTGATTCATTCGTGTCTTTGTTATTAACCGCTTGAACAAACTTACATGTGAGAATCGATTGTTCCCTCCATACGAGGTTGTCGACATGTTTTCTGAAGATTTTCTTGTTTCCCTCCTGTGATAAACACTTCTATATGTTCTGTTTTAACCAGTATAGAAATTATAGACACAGATCTGGGTTTTAAAAAATTGGATTTGATCTGAATTGAATACTAACTTACTGAATACTATTTAGTACACACTGCATACTGTTTGTAATTATTTATATTCTGTTATAGTCTTTCTAAAAAAAATTGTTCACTTTTATTTGTATATTTTCAGTTTGCATTTTAATTTGTTGATTTTTTTGTAATTTTATGTGCTTCTGTCATTTTTATTATCTTTTTTTTTTTTTGGGGGGGGGGTTATTTTGGGTTAATTAATGATAATATGCCTGGACAGTATGCATTTCAAATATTAGTAGTATGCTAAGTTATATGTGACTCTGGACCACAAAACCAGTCGCACAGGTATATTTGTAGCAATAGCCAACAGTACATTGTATGGGTCAAAATTATTGATTGATTTTTTTATGCCAAAAATCATTAGGATATTACGTAAAGATAATGTTCCATGAAGATATTGTGTTAATTTCCTACCGTAAATATATCAAAACTTAATTTTTGATTAGTAATATGCATTGCTTTTGTGGTCCAGGGTCACATATATGATCATAAATACTAATAATACAAAAATAAATAAAACAATTTATATTTATATGTTGTTAGGATATATATTAGTGTATTATATTATCTTAAACAAAGTTACATTTTTTGATTATATTTAATTAATTTTTTGGATGATGTTGTCTTAACATTTGGCATCAATTTGTAAGCAAAAAAGAGACGGTTGATATTAGATGATTGGATGCATTGCATTGAGGGATATTGTACCTAGTGAAGCTCGCATTGTTGTACCTTTTAGTAAATATAGTATTCATACTATATACTGTAGAAAATCGAAAGAATAGTATACCATTCCAAACACAGTCCATCAAATATCATCCCATTCTGAAATACGGTCACGCTGCCATTGATTTTCCACTTTATGTTCACAATATCAGAGAAATGTTTGTAATTCAATGGTTGGTTTGTCCGCAAGTTACATGATATATAGGAGATTCACAGGCCTACCAGAGGTTAACCAGTGATGACCTGATCCAGTCACACGATCGGCCACAATCACACTGTGAATTGATAACACAAAAAATCACTCAGCAAGCCCAGGTTCCCTCCACGTCTCTCGGGGATTGTGTGCGGATTGAGGTGTGCTTTTATCTTGTAGGAGGGTTTCGCTCCAAACTTCATTACCGATGAAATCAGTCTCCCTGCAAAAGCGGACACCGCCGCACTCCACTTTTCCCCAAGATAAGAGCGTATCAGTCAGCTGTCCGAGTCTTACGGCCTCGATATCCCTCGACTTCGTTTTAATGCACTCCAGTGGTCTCTCCTCACCACTGCTTGAGTGGGCTTCAAGGTTGCCGGCTCCCAGGGGCCCACAGCTTTCTTGGTTTCTTGGTCCCATGTGCCGAGCAGATAAGTGTGGCGTTCGGACGCATTACCGGCATGCCAGACCCCATATGCTTGACGCTCGCGAAGGCAGCGGCCCATGCTGGCGAGGGCAGCTTCTTGCGCCGAGTGAAAATCGTTGGTTTATTCTTGTTTCCTGGAGCCAAATTGTCTTCGTCTCATTATCACGGTTCACTGCAAATCATGCGAACGCTTCAGGGCTTACAGAACAAAGAAAGACAGCCGATTCCGTAACGTTTTTTTTTTTATATATATATGTTTAATTGGCAATTGGGTGTATGAGGTAAAAGCGAATACACCTGTTCCCACAAACACCCACTTTCCTCCTTTAAACCTGCCATCGCCGCGAGGCTAAATCAAGTTGTGCTTGGACGGGAAGGAAGGATTTGATGGAATTTTTATACGGGCGATTTTGTCGTGCTGCAGTAAATGCTTATTAAAGAGGAGTAATCAGTTTTCATATTGGAGAGAGTGCTTATCTGGAGCTCAGCCTAAAGCCGAGACCAGCGCCAGTCTACGGGCCACATCAAAGCGCCAGCAATGTGTCCTATTATAGATAGATAGGCACTTAACAGACCCGCACACACACATAGTGCCACATAAAACGGGTCCCTTGGGGAGAGAAAATACCTTCAGTGTTTGTTCTCAATTTACTGAAATGCCAAATTCTGGAATTAGCAGCAAATGCAAATAAACCCAACAAACAGCGGGCCAGGAGGAGAGACGGGCGCAGGGTAATGTTTGGACTGTCTGTTTGACAGAAGAGGTGTTGGATTGTTAACAGTGGAGAGAAAATGTCACTGATCTAATTCAGATTCTCTGCAGGGTGTGTAAACGGACCAGGAGTCACTCTGGATTAGTTTATGTGATGTTTGTTAAATAAGTGTGCATGCTTGAACATTTCTTTATTCATTTCACTCACCTTCATGTCAATCCAAATCTGTATGCATTTTTTTTATTCTGTGGAACACAAAAGAAGATTCAAAAAGAAATGCATCAGTGTTTTTTTCATACAAAAAGGCCAATGGGGTTCAGTATAGTTTTAAACCCTGTTGACATTCACTAAATGGACAAAAGTGTTTTCAAATACACGCCTGGTCTCCTTTTCCTCAGTAATCCATCTTTCTGTTTGCACACTTTTTGTGTAAATCACTTTCTTTTGGCAAGAATATTGAGGCAGAACCCAGAGAAAATAGGAAGTTATGGAGATAAAATGACAAAGATGCTTCAATTTCATAAATTCATTCTGCATGTTTATTTACAGCGTGCTCTAAACAATTCAGTCACTCGTGAAAGATTACTATGACACATACTGGAGACTTCTTCGTTTCTTAATCAGTTCCAGCTGTTTAATTTGGAGTCGTGTTAAAAAATTGTGAATTATGATGGAAATGATGCTTAAGAGAGTGATTTTGCTATGATGACTCAGTCTTTTTCTCTCTCTCTTTGTTTTCTACCCTCTTACTGACCCCAGTGACGTTCCAGCGTGTTGATGGAGGCTTGATGAGCAACGGGAGGTAAGATTCCTGTCATCCGCTCTCTCGTTCCCCTTGTTTTTCCTCGGCATGCCACAAAACAGTGCTAGTTATTATCTTTGTGCCAATCACCTGCCTTTAACCTTCAAAGACCAGCCCCTCAATTCCAAACCTCATTCATATTCTGTCCATCATCCCCTGGAAGGTCATCAAAACCATTATCCTCTACAAGGCAGTCGTCTTCCAGTGCGTACTCCGCTTTTAAGGGTTCGTGCCATCGCTGCACTGTTAGAAATTCATCTTAAGAGACGCTGCGGACGGGAGTTATTGAAAGGTTGTTCCTATAGGTTTCTGTGAGGGTTCTTGCGACACACAACCGATTCTTATGGGTCAACAGCTTGATTAACCTTCTAAAAGTCACAGTAGAGTCCATCAATGCGGAACAGTTCTTGCATAACCATTAAAACAGGGTTCTTTCGAATATAAATAAATAATTCAACCAGACGTATTGTTGATTCTCACCACTTTGTGGGTGTTCAGTGACCCCAGTGGAATCTGTATCAGTGATGAAGACAATATTTTATATTTTATAATATATCATTTGGTTATTTTTTTATTTAAATTCTAATATACTATAATTAATAATAATAAATATATAATATGTTGATTTAATTAAAAAATGTAGATAACTGAAATTAAGTGTATTATATTACATTAAAATAGATGATATACTTGGATTTTTGTATAAATTATAACATATAATATAATATAATATAATATACACATTATATATACATGCATGTGTTTGTATTTACATATACATAATAAATATACAGTATACACTCATATATTATGTAAACAAAAAAACATATTTTGGATGTGATTAATCGTTTGACAGCACTAATTTATATAAATATTTTTAGTTAACATAATATATACTATGTTGATTTAATAAAAAAATGTGAAATAACTGAAATTAAATGTATTATATTACATTAAAATGCATGATATACTTGGATTTTTGTATAAATTATTATAATATAATATAATATAATATAATATAATTGCATTTATGTAATTATTTTAAGTTAACATGATATAGAATATTATGATTTAATATAAAAATTTAGATAACTGAAATTAAATGTTACATCAAAATAATAACAAACTTATAATATCTACATCACCTAATAATAATAACTTAATATTAATATATTTAATATATATATATAGGCCTATCTATATATATATATATACAAAATTTTAATTTAAATTCTAATTAATTTCTAATATAATATTATAATGTAATAAATTTAGATTATAGATAGCTTTTATGTGCATTCTTGTATGTATCGTTACCCATGAGCACCCAGTTTTATCAACAGATCAAACTACAGCATGCACCCACAGCAAGTGTGCGTTTATACATCAAGCTCGCTCTGATATCACCATATGACTGATGGATGAAAATATGAGATCTGCCTGTTTGTGTACCCTGCATCCTGTCAAACACACACACACACACACATACTGAACGTACACACACAAATCTCTGCACATCTCCCTTCACGGACGGCTAGCCGCTCATAAATCTCACCCCCCAAAAAGAATTAGCAGGAACAATTTAAGCAGAGAGGGGTTTTATTTTATCATTTGTCAGCCCCCCTTCGTCCCCGCCTGCCTGTACGGACCCCCGCAGTGATAAATTTGCCTGTCACCTCAGCTGGGCGGCTGGAATATGAGCACGTGTAATAATGTAAAAATAATTACCCCAGGGAGAGGCAAGACTAACCCTTCTGGAATCTTTCGGCGGGCCTCGGTTTTTTTAGGGGGTGGAAAGGAGAGTAAGGGTTCGTTTGAATGACACCAGTTACCTGCTGGACAGGAGTGGAAGGTCTGTCTCTTTGGCGTCTTTTATCACACCTGACAGGCCAAATCCAGTTTTTCTGTTTGAATTCCACACACCCACACCTCTTCTCATTGTCTCTGCTGCTGTATCAATAGATTGAAGGTGTTTGAGTGGCTGGAATTAAAGCCGCAGCAGTGTCACCTGATTCCCCTGCAGGAAGTCAAGTTCTGCTGATTGATTTGAAGATTCTATTCCAGATCCCATGGGTCTCCTATCTAATCAAAGAGGACGTCCAATTGTATTTTTGTTTAAATAGTGATACCTTGTCTTTAGCTGTATAACACCCTAGAGATCAGAGAGAGATAAGCACTTAACTCTGTAGATCTGAATTAAGACAGACATTATTGCAAACGAAATTATTCGAAATGCCTTATTCTTCTAAATTTAAGCCTATTATATTATGTTATGTTATGTTATATTATATTTGGTGCATTATGAATGCATCAAGGATACCTTTTACAATATTTTCAATATAGTAAAAAATTTACATTCTAGCATGTTTTATTGATTTGATGAAATTAATTATTTTTTGTAAAAAAAAAAATAAAAAAAAAACTTATATTTTAACCCATTTAAACTAATAATAATAATAATTTTATCAACACATAATAATCATAATAATTATATCTGTAATGTTAATTTTTTTAAATATATTTTGTAAATATTTACGAATTTTATATTAAAAATATTAGTCACAAATTTTTGTTTACACGCTACTTTACTGAACAAATTCAGATTTATATTGGAATATTATATGTAAATAATAACAGAATGCAATGCAGTGACAGTGAACAGGTGTTTCACATCTTAACTGTTACTGTATTGTATATTTTATATTATGTATTGAGCAGTCAACATCCAGGACTGTAATAGAATGCATTATATACAGTATGCATGTTTCATTTTATTGAAATCTTCTGCACGTTTAGGTGGGTTTATGCTGTGAAGGTGCTCTACATGCATCAGAACACTTGATCTGTCTTCTGCAGTGAATCCTCGTGACTAAAGTTCCTGGAGAGATGATGAGAGAATGTGTTCATTTGTTACAGTCTTTGTTTATTGCATTAATTAGACGAAAGCAAATGAAGCCGCGTCTGTTCCTGCAGCTCCTCATTGGCTGCTGCCAAATTGCTCGTACTGAACAATTACGCCTAATCGATCACAGAATAAATGATTCATGGAAGATGAATAGGCGGCATATTGGTCAGGCCTTGAACTAGAAACTGATCATGGCAGATTGTTTTTCTTACACGCTTTCATTTTCTTGCACTGTTTTTCTTCATTCATTTTTTACTTTCATTTCTGTATGTACCGCCTTGCTTGTTTTTCTTTCTTTCTTGACTTCCATGACATATATATATATATATATATATATATATGCATAAATGCATATAACAAAATTATTAAATTAAAGTGAAGGCCCTTGACGTTGCTCACTGTCGCCTTAAATCATGCATGAACGTGATAATTATCCATGCAAGGCTAAGAAGGGCCCATCACGACTGCTTTAAATCCAATAAACGTCCTGACCCGATCATTAGAATTGACCATCTATCAGGACCATCAATTTGTTATTATGTATTATTTTTGTACTGTTATGCATTATTATTATGTACTGTTTTTAAGTAAACAGTAAGATATTCAAACTATGTACATTTCTAATTGTTTCTAATTTCTATTGTTTTAATGTAAACAGTAAGATATTCAAATGATATGTGTGTGTGTGTGTATATATATATATATATATATATAGTATATACAGTCAAGAAGTTGTGTGTACCATTACCCACCTTCTGTCCTTTTTTGCAAGGCACTTTATTCCTTTCTTTCCTTCCTTTCTTTCAGATCTATATGTTTATATGAACATGTTTGTTTATATATTAGATTTTCACTGTGCTCAAAGTAAGCAGCAGCATCCTCCAGCCAATGTAAATCTGAAAAGCAAATGCGTGTTTCGGCATGCCTTAAGCATAATTTAATGTGCAGGCTTTTAGTTGGGTCTCTCTGGCGCTCGCTCTTTCTGCGGCTGTATTGGAGGGCATGTGGGCCTGTAAAGCCCGGCTGATTTATGAAGTAGGATTGGGATTAATATTGCTCACTCGGCTTGTTTACGACGATGCTCAGAGACGCACTGCGAGGTTGTATTTCACAGTTGCGCGCGTGTCTAGGAGCGTGGCAGGGAAAAATGAGCCAAATCAAATCTCTGTGGTCTCAAGGCCACAGTGCGCTCTCGCTGTCTGAGGAGAGGGATTCGGGGCTGGGTGTCAGGGATGGGATGAGGCCCCTGGCCCCGCTCCCGGTGATTTGCAGAGCAGAGATATGCCCGCTAAAACGATATTTCTCAATCTAATCACCTCGCACGGGAGAAGATGAATGCAAGGACAGAGCCGCCGTTACCACAGTCAACATCATCATCACCCACACTTACAAATGATCCCTGTGAGGACTGGCTGCGACTCTGTGCATGTGCGTGTGGATGTTTACCAGAGAAATCAAAGTCAAACTCATGAAACCTCCATTTTTCTCTGGCGAGCTCAATTTACCAACTCTTCAGTTTGAAGGAAATTGCATTCCCTAGACATTTAACCTAGACAGTAACACTTTACTGTGTAGGTTATTTTAACAATTTTGGGTTACACAGTACCTATACTTACAGTGTACTTACCCAAGAAAGTACTGGGTAGTATTAGGTACAGTAACTAACTACATGGGCATTTGTATATATTAATGAATTATTAACTATTATGAGAAACTATATATTTTACTTGGTCTCGCTGTTACAGTATTTAGCAGATTTTGATTTAATTGTGAAATGTAAGACTATTATGTTATTGGTTAATATTCCCTGCCCACATAAGATGTCAGATATGAAGGAAAGTCTGAAGAAAGGTTGTTTCAGAGATGATCAAGTTATCAAGTGAGCCGATTTCTGCCTTGGAGGGGAAAAAATGTAAAATATAAATGTTTGATTATTTTTTACAGAAAGAAAATGTAAAAATAAATTAAAAGAAAATAAGAAGTCATACTTAAAGTCACAGTTAAGAGACATAAAGTCGTAATTACTTCATTGTTCTTACTCTGGAGCTGATGAAACATGAAAACAGTTTTTTCCTTTAAAATAACAACAAGGAAAAATGACAATATTCCTTTGAAATAATGAATGTAAAATATCTATAAAAAATAAATAAATAGAAAAAAATAAATAAGAAAATGCGGTCATACAGAAAGTCACAGATATGAGAAATGAAATTACAATTCATTTGTCTTACTCTGGAGCAGCAGAAATTTAATAAATGAAACCTGAATGAAAACGATTTTCTCTTTAAAATAACAAATTAGAAATATTAAAATATATTTAAAATAAATATAAAAAATGTCAATTAAAAGTAAAGAAGAAAATGCAGTCATACAATATTTTGATGAAATATGAAAGAAAATATTTTTTTCCTTTAAAGTAACATAAGGTTTTTTTCCCCCTTTAAAATAATAAATAAAACTTTGTTTAAAGTAAATAAAAAAATGCAGTCATACATAGTCACAATTATGAGAAATAAAATCAGTTTAAATAAAAGCAGTTACTTCATTTTTCTTACTTTAGGGCAGAAACAGGCTTCCATAATACATTTTTATAAAACATGAACAAAAAAAATCCTTTGAAATGACATGCACATTTATTTCAAAGACAGGAACATTTTTTTTTAAATAGCTATTGTTTTTAAATATGGAAGGAGAAAAACACTTGAAAAAGGACAGTAACTCATAAAGATCACCTGAGGGCCAAACAAAACCAAAACAGCGAAGGTAGAGAGAGGACCTGATTGTAAACAGGTAGCAAAGAGCATTTCGGTAGAGGTGAGCAGAGCGCTTGGTTGTTTTTCAGACAGAAGAAATGCAGAGGTGGAGGGGGAAGGTTTGAGTAGTCCTCGACGTATTACCCTATAAGAAGTCAACGTGTCTGAGGAGGAGCCATCAATTTGAATGACTCGTCCCCCCTGAGGGCCTGTTTTGGCATTCAGCTGCCACATCAGGGGGTGCTTAGTCTGTCAGGACCCCCGCCTCCTCGGCCCGAGACCCTCCATTCGGGCTCCGCTGGTTCTTATTAAAACCTGTGGCTTAGCGAGCGACGGGCTGCTACACTGCTATTACCGGTATATTGCCCCCGGCTTCAGAAAACCACACACTGTTCCCCGGGCCTGGGGGAGACGAGCCACCTTAGGGCAAATGTACTTCCACAGAGAGCAGGAGTGAGAGGAGACGAGAGAGAAAGTCACGGTGAAATAGAGAAAGAAAAGAGACAAAGACGACTAGGGTGTGTTGATGCACATCGGCGCTTGAGTCTTTGGATGAGCGTGTTTGTGTCAGACACTGTACACCAGGCAAACAAGGTCAGATGAATAGGAGATATTACAACGCTCAACATGGCAGCTGTCAGAAATGAAGCCTTTTTAAAGCTGTGTTTAAAGTTAAGTATAAGTTACAAAGTTATATTATAGGTTTAATATGCATGTACTATAGACTTTTAAGTGCATACCTGTATTTATTATTTGTTACGCCACACACACCCTCGGGAAGACACACAACACCTGTTAAATCAAACCTCCTATATGTGAGCTCGTACACACGCGCGCAGTTGTCAGATGTGGAGGAGTGTGTTGTAAAACACAGGAGTTCGCTGAGCTGGAGATGGTGTATTATAGTGAGGGTGATCTGTTAATTGAGGGTGTGTGCTGGCATGTACGGAAGGGCGTTCGCTTTGTGTGTGTTCTTACACAGCTACAATGAAAAATGCTGTCTTTGTTTAAAATCCAAAAGCTTTCTGATAATTTCCAGGTTTAAATGTAAAAAA